TAACATTTGTGGATATTGGAAACAACGAATTGATGTCAGACGGGAATGTCAACTTCTCTAAACGCTGGCAGCAGTTTAATATTCTTGATAATATGAAAAGATTCAAGAAGAGGTGAGTACACATTGTGATTAGGGTATACACTATGAAAGACAGAGTATGACTTTGAGTATGTGTCAGTAGTCATTTTTGCAACTTTAATCACACCAACTTGTTTAACTTTTTTCAGCCAATATAACTACAAGAAGAATGAAAAAGTCATTGCCTTCTTTAACAACTTTGACGACTATCACAGCGAAGAGGCTCTCTGGCACATCTCTGAGTCCATCAAGCCCAGAGGTGGAAAGAAGAAGTGAAAGCCGAAACGAGACAGAGATCTCTCACTCGCAGGATCGAATTAAGCTTTAGACATATTTCATTGCAGTAATGCATGATTTATATAAATGTTATATTTTTTTTAACAGTAATTGTAGTACATTCTGAGGTGATACTGTGAGTTTGACTCAGAATACTTAATTGTGTTCCATTATTTGTGTAAAATAGCACAGATGACTTGGATATTGTACCACACATAATCCTAGCAATCAGATACACCTCAAAAGTATATATTTGTTAATAGAAAACAAAATATGAATGAATATGCATATATTACTATTACATCCCAGTCCATTGTGTAATATATAGTAGAGATTAGTTGGAAGCATCATGAAGGTGCTTGGTATGGAGGCCATAATGGCTAGTCGTTTTTGAGTTTAGTGGCTTTGAAAGTATAGGTAGATATGCTTGAAAGTTCGTTCTGGTAACTGTTAGGCTTTTATGGCATAACTACAAAATGTAAGGAATGAAAAGGCAGAAAGTATTGTTCATATATTGATGGGATATATGCTGCCAATAAAGAAAGTGAAAAAATTAAATCAAAGAATATTAAGTGTGTAGTCAGTTTGTATATATTTGTACAGTGGAAATCAGAGTAGAATAATCATTTTTATTTTATTTGGTGATATAGACAGTCCTACAGATATTTAGCCATTTTGTGTTCTCAGTTATGCAATTCACAAAACTCATTCTTACTCAAATATGGGTTTCCGTTCAACTCTTTGTTACTTCATGATAATGTAAACATTTGCAAGCCAAAGATGTAGCCGAAGGCTGCGCATGTAATGATCAGTCCAAAGATATTTTCTTGTATGTTAGTAGGTGGGAATGAAACCATCAGACTTGTGCTGATTAGGTGAAGTTCTCCCTTTAGACTTTTACTTAGAATAAAATCACTTCTTCTATTTAAGATGGTGTTCTGCCAACAGTTCTCTTTGGCAGCACAGCATTTGTATTGCTGTTTCCTATTGGCAAATCACATGTGTTTGTGGTTATAGAGAAGAAATGCCAAACATCTGTTCTTTTATTTTGGTCCTTTGAACTGTCACAAAACATTAAGACAGACCATAGTGCTTCATATGACTGCACACAACTGGCAAGACTTGTCAGTACTGACAAGAGTATTATATAAGGTCACAATACACTAGATGGACTACATTATTAGGCATGATCACCCTACTTGTTGCTAATCATTTCAGGCCTTAATGGTAGATCATCCAATCTGTGTTTAGGGTTATCTGATCTTCCATGACTTATCTGGGAAGGACTTTATGAGGCATAGGCACATGCTCTAGCATACTGGTTATAGTATAATTCATTTCTGATGTTAATATAATTCTTAGAAGTAAACACAGTTGCAAGTAATGTATATTAGGTGAACATTATATACAGTTACATGTCATTTGCAGAACTATGTTGACCTAACAGAAATAGAATATGGGACATAATAACTCATATCTGTTTTTGGGTTTCCATTTTTATTTTGCAAAGGGAAGTGAGTAGGCACTTATTACTGTGTCATGGTGTTTACTACTCTGCTATGGGTAATAGTAAGTACATCACATCAAACTTTATAATGCTAAAGTGTCTTGGAGGATGAATACATAATTTCATCACTATAATATCAGAAAAAAAGTGTGAGACTGCTCCAAAGATTATTGTTGTGTTGTGATTGTTAGTTATTACTTTGGAATTATTATTAATGCTCTTGTGAAGGCAGAAATGAAAGCCACTATTCAATATGGATATGAACTAAATACTAGCAACTATTATCAAAAGCTGCAACAATCTTCTCCAATATTCAGCAAGTTATGTTTGGCAGAGCAGTATGTTCTTTTGGAAGCTTCTGTACTTGTACATTCATTTCTTCTCCTTGAAGTTCATAACCTTAGCAAAAGAATTTTCTCCATATCCCCATCTTTATTCCCACACCTTTTTCTTTTATCTGACTATAAAGGTCTATGGCAAAGTGACAGGTATCCCCTCATTATGTATTTTTGTTGTCATCTTTTGCTTCTATTTATTATGTGTTTCTTTCTACCACTTACTCCCATTACCTTTTGCCACTTTGATAAATTATGTCATCTCATTTTGTTACTGATTTTAGTTATGCATCCTTTTTCTCTTGCATAATGATTGTTTGTAATAATTATAATGACCAGATACTGTATTTCAATTTATTTCCTTTCTTTTCTCACATTTGCATTGTTGATAAGCATTTTATGGTGAGTTATGTATATATTTATAAAAAAAAGAAAAGAAAGTACAATCATGCTCCTTGGCCAGACTTTAACTGGTATTATAACTATTACATGAGTTAATGAATGCATCATGCTACATAAGAGGAACTTTTTTATGTCAACATGATGGAAATGCTTCCGAAGCATATATCAGACTCATTTATGGTACTCATTAGAGTTTATGTACATGACACCTGCAGGACACTTAAACACCATGTAAAATGGGAGCAGAATACCAGGCATGTGCTGGTGGCTCATACCATAACTAGGTTCACAAACCTGACTTTGTGTATTTTTCTGAAACAGTATTTGTATATAAAGTGCTCATATATAGTCTATGGATAGGAGTAATAGTACTACCTTGTTTTTAATAGGTTTAGGAAGTTTACTGACACATGCCTTGTTCATCCTTAAGTATGGCTAAATAAGGCTAGTATTCTTGCATATCTGGTAAGAATATTCAGCCTCAAGTCTCCTCATCATGAGGTACAAACAAGGAATCAGAGGCTATGTTCAAGGACGTGGCCCCTTTTTCTAGTCATTCTTGTGAGTCATTATGCACCAAGAGATTTTATTTACTTTTCTGGACTGTTTTTAAAATGTAGCATATATAGGATTATTTAAACATTATTTGCATACTGAGTTGCTATAAATTAATGGTTTGTATTGTGTCATGTAATTTTATACAGAAAATAAATTTGATATGCCATGTGTCTTTTACTTTTATTAATAACCTTGATTCACTTGTTCTAAGACACTCAATTGTACAGCTTATATGATGCTAAATCGTTTTCATAAGTCTGAGCCTCCAAACACCTTGAATGAATAGCCATGCTTATAATGAACTTGCATATATAGTCACCATTAGTCAGGTTGCTGTTGTCCCTCAGTGAGCACGAACAAGATACCACTTACTAGTAACAATCTGCAGCTCTTTCAGATCATCTGCATAATTTGTTTTAGTAACTAGCTTTTTTGCCAAAATTATATAGAATGCAGTTAGGGATGCATATATAGCTGCCCTAAAAAAAGTCGGTGAATTCAGATGTGAAACAACTACATTTTACATCTTTATCTTGTTTTCAATCCAATAATATTTTTGTTTATCATTTGTCACCAAAGTCACAAACACCACGAACTGAAAATAAAGTAAGACCATATGTCAACCGTACAGCATAAATTACAGCAATACGACCACTACATCTATTTTCCCCCCAATCCTTTTGCTCATTTTGTTGCGGGGTCTTAGGAGAGGGGGACTGTGTAGGGGATCACCCCAACCTTGGTCCTCAGCCCTTGCCTTAATTCAATTTTACCGTTTTTGCCACAATACTTCATCATAAGGCTCCCAACTCCTTTAGTTCCTTCCCCTTCTAACAACCTTTACCTTACACTATACACCATCAATTCCTTTC